GGCGCAAAAAATCCCCGATTGCCATTTTCATGATCAGGGCTTTTTTGCGCAAAACTAATCTCAGCTGTCTATACTGGCCATTTTGCGGAAAAGTTTTGCGCAAAAGGGACTTTTGCCCGAATGGGAGCAGCTTGGTATTTCCACAAAAAGCACTGATTTCTTACAGTAGGAAGTCAGTGCTTTTGCGGAAATTCAAGCGGCCAGTGTAGACAGCTGGCAAGTTTTTGCGGAAAAGGGGCCGCTTTTCCGGAAAACCTGGCCAGTCTAGACACAGCCCTGGAGTATTGTGATCAATTCTGGGCTCCCTACTACAAAAAGGATGTGGAGGCATTGAAGAGGGTTCAGCGAGGGCAACAAAAATATTTAGGGGGCTGGAGTATATGTCCTGTGAGGAGAGGCTGAGGGAGTTGGGTCTGTTTAGTCTGCAGAAGCGAAGAGTCAGGGGGAATACGATAGCAGCCTTCAACTTCCTGAAGGGAGGTTCCAAAGAGGATGGAGAGAGGCTGTTCTCAGTAGTGACAGATGGCAGAACAAGGAGCAATAGTCTCAAGTTGTGGTGAGAGAGGTCAGGTTGGATATTAGGAAAAACTGTTTCACTAGGAGAGTGGTGAAGCACTGGAATGGGTTACCTAAAGAAAAAAGTGGAGTCTCCATCCCAAGAGATTTTTAAATCTCGGCTTGACAAAGCCATGGCTGGGTTGATTTAGTTGAGACTGGTCCTGTCTAGAGCAGGGGACTGGACTCAATGACCTTCTGAAGTCTCTTCCAGCTCTATGATTCTATGATTCTATGTTGTTGCTTTTCTGTGGACCTTCATCAGTTTCTCCACATCTTTCTTGAAATGTGGTCCCCAGAACTAGACACAATACTCCAAGTGAGGCCTAATCAGCACAGAGTACAGTGGAAAAATAATTTCTCTTGTCTTGCTCGCAACACTGCTGCTAATATATCCCAGAATCAGGTTTGCAGTGTCACACCCTTGACTTATATTTAGCTTGTGGTCCAATACCTGTGGCTCATTTCCCTTTCAGTATCAAGGGAAACTGATTGCTGCTTCCTAAGCGGAGTACCTAGAAACATTCTAAAATAGTTAAAATTGAAGCACTGCGTTTCAGGGGTTCATTTAATCCAAGAAGAGTTTGGAGGGTTGTTCGTGGTTTTTTGTTTTGTTTTTGTTTTTTGTTACTTTTGCTTTCACAAGAATAATTTAATTTTTGTTTCAACCTGAAATATATTTTCCATTGCAAGCTAACTAAAAGTCTTTGTTCATGCAGATATGCTCACAAACAGATACTAATTTGCTACAGAACCTGCAGCCTCCCCATTTTAAAATGTAACTGATAGAAATGCTTACAAAATGGATAAAGAATTTGTAACTGTTGAAGAGAATTATTCTCCAGGGTTGTTTTAGAGCATTCTTCCAAACTTGGTGGGAAAAAAATAATGAAAAAATAAATAAAAATACCTGAATTACTCAACCAGGTCTGGTTTAAAATTACATAGTAGGATTTTCAAAAAATACTATTGGATTTGAGCAACTGAATCCCACGGGACCTCTGCACCTAACTTCCTTAGGCTTTTTTGAAAATGTGAGCCATGAAGATGATGACCATTTTTGTGTTCAGTTTGGTCACATATCTCAGGAAGTCCTAGGAGATTTCTTGCACCTGATAATTTCCCTCTTGTATTGGCAAAGCTCAGATGAAATCATACCACATTCAAAACCACATTTATAGAATGAATGCAGGAAGTTTATTTCCCAGATGGGCACAGGCAACACACTGGGTAAAGCTAGAGAGACAGAGTAAATGAGAGAAAGAGAGAGAGGTATTTATTTCATTTCTGATTACAGCATCTGAACTGCAGCTAGTCTGAAAAGGTGAGATTTATGCCTACCTATTTCTACGCTTTGATGTTCCATGGCTCACAATTTCATGAACCGTTTTGATGACCGTTTCGATCTCCCAGGCTGAAATCCTGTGTAACACTGGCCAAAAACTTAACAGAAAAAAATCCTACAGCAGAATTTTTAGAAAAAAAATCCAATGTTCAGTTAAAAGTAGTCTGTTATGAAGAATCTGTCACAACCCTTGGTAAACTGTTAATTATCTTCATTGTTAAAAGGTGCACCTCATGTGCAGTGTGAATTTGTCTTGTTTCGACCACCATTCAGTGGCATGTTTGAGTGTCTCTGTTAGATAGAAGAGTCCATTCAGCTCCTCATGCAGCTACTACAGACGTACAACCAAGTCATCTCTGAAACGTGTTACTCTGAATGGATTGAATTCCTTGAGTCTATCGCTAGAAAGCACACGTAGGTGAGACTTTCGCTGCTGTGTTTATTTTGCTGCTCTATAAAAGAGGCCTAGAAGAATAATTTAGCACGGAATACAGAATGGTGGAGCAAAAAATATAGTAGTGAAGTTCAATCCAAAAAGTTTATTGAAGAACAAGTGGAGAGAAGACTTTGTGTGGAGAAGATTTCTGACAATTGAAAAGTGCTTCCTCGAGCAGAAAAAAATATCCCCTGGCTGGAACCTGAAGTTAGACACAGTCAAACAAGAGGTAAGGTATATATTTTAAAGGGTCAGAGCTGATAACAATTGGGTTACGGTTAGGATTAGGGAGATGGATATGCCATCACGTGAAGTCTTTAATTTGAGTCTGGATGTCTTTCCAGAAGATATCCTCTATTTCAAATGCAAGTTGACTGGTGAAATTACAATACAATTGTATGGTTTATGTGATGCTGAGAGCAGATTACATCTTTGGCAACTAATTTTGTGCCGGTGAAATGAAAGGCAGAGAGGGGTAGCTGTAAGGCACTCACATTGTTATACATTGTATATTTCTGATACAATGAAAATACATCTTTTAGAATAAATTGGGGTCATTAAAAGCTTCAAAGTTTCTGAGCTCACACACAGTGGGTGTATGAAACAAGTTTCTTGTCACTGATAAAATATTTTAATCTTTACATCTATCACGATGGGATTGTGAACATATTTTAATGTAAGGGTTTGCCAACCTTGAAATGCTGACAAATATTGTTCTATGTAAAGCGCACAAGCGGCACTGGGGACCATCTGAACTTGAAAGTGCTCGTGTGAGATGTTCTAGGATGAGTCTTAAGGAAAACTGACTTTGAAAAAAATCTCCAGGGTCCTGGTGAACAACCAGCAGATCATGAGCTTTCAGCTTGGTGCTGCTGTAGCTCAGACAGGCAGAATTGTAGCTGGGCATGAGATTCTACTGCTTGAGCTAAAAGCCATCTGGCTCCCGGCTGAGGCTGTGGAGCAAACTCATTGTCTCTCACTCGCTGTAGGTGGTGTCGGTACCACTCGATGCGACAGTGAACCACACCCAGTAGGTGTGGGGGTCACCCTGTGACCTAAGAGGCTGACGTCAATCTCAGCTGTAAAATCCGGGGAACAGTTACTAGGAGAACAGGCGTCATTTCTCCCTTGTGTTTGCCACATGCTGAAATCCCGTGTACCATTTTGCAGTGCGCAGCTGAAAAAAAGCTACTGGGAAACTGAGGCGTGTTGAGAAATGAGCCACAAGAGCGGCTGAAGCTCTGGAAAGTTTCCTTACAGTAACGGTCTCAATGAGCTCCTCTTAGCAAAGGGAAGCTGGCTGGGTCACTTGAGCACGACTTGTAGGTATCTTCCCGGGGAACACAGAGCTGGGTCCAGCAGACCAAAGCGTCATGTGATGAAATGGATGGAAGCGGAAGCTAGAAATATTGAGACTGCAACGAAGGTTTTGACAGTGAGGGAGGTTCAGCGTTTGAATAACCCGCCCAGTCTTGTCCTGGATTCTATTTCTCAGGTCAGGTTTAAACGAAGGGTGGATATTTTTCTAGGACGCAGGTGGGCAAATACTGGTCCGTGGCTGGGTTCAGTCTCTCACACCGCCATATTTACCTGCAGGTACAGGGGATTGCAGCTCCTCTTGGCCGTGGATCGCCGTTCCTGGCCACTGGGAGCTGCGATCACCAGTACCAGGGGAGGTGCAGGTAAATTATATGGAAGCAGCAGCTCATCAGGGGCTAACCCTGATGAAACGGCGCCGTGTTAGTGCCCACCCCTGCAGTAGATGATCATTCATGATTTCACAGACCTTCCATAACTGCACAATTCCGATATTTTGCTTGTCTCCTCATGTGAAACTGTTTCCTTACCCCGAATTTTTTATTATCCTCTCTGCACCTTTTCCATATTTAGTATAGATTTTGGGGATAGGGCAACCACATCTTCTTGCAATAATTAAGGTGGAGTCGTACCATGGATTTATACCATAGCATCATGTTATTAACTGCCTTGTTACCGATCCTTTCCCCAGTGGTACCTGACATTCTGTTAGCTTTTTGATGGGCACTGCACACAGATGGCAAAGATCAAATGAAACAAAATTACACAAAATAGTTAAGTCCAAAGCAGAATTACAAAAGCATCTCGCAGAACAGGGTGATTGGGAAACACACTGGCAGATGTAATTCAGTGATGAGAAATGCACCATAATGCATGTTGGAGAACATAATCCCAAGTACATGTGCAACATTATTGGGTCTAAATTAGTTATTATTCCTCAAGGAAGAGACCTTGGAGATTTTGCGGGCAATACCCTGGGAACATCTACTCAATATGCAACAAGCAGTTAGGAAACATTATAGAAAGATAGATAATAGGACATTAAATATAACGATGTGACTACATAAAGCAGGAAT